CCTGCTGAAGTCCAGAGGGCTAGAGAGGTAGCACAAGCAGTGTCTGCCTTCACTGTCTTAAAAAGAAGGCTTCTAAAGCCTCCACCCTCATTCTCTAACACAATAGGGCACAGCCATGCTTCTTCACCAAGCTGCTTCTTCGGATGTCTCTACTACCTTACATATTGTTAGGAAAAAGCATGATGAACCTTTAAATGCAATACAAATTTATAGCTTCAAGTTAGAAGTAGAAATATGTAACCACCCCGAGTCCAAATTTGTTTCTAATACAGTATTCTAATGCATCTGTACTAAGTTTTAATAACTAAAAAAAATCCCAAGACTGAGCTTTTGGAGGCAGCTGCTTTGATGAGTTGCTACTAGTAAAGAGCCTGAAACTCAACCAGTGCTGCACTGCTATATTTTTGGGGGCTAAGGGAAACAAAACACACTCACAATTCACATTTTTTACTTTTATTTATACTTAGTTCTTCTAGCTTTGCATCATAAACTAAAGAAGAAGGATGAGCAAAACACACATTTCCTTCCCTGTCACTGTTGGAGGCTGCAATGGGATCAAATGAACTGCAGTCTTCTCTTCTGCCTGATAAGCCCCCCCTTGGAAAAATGTTCTCATCTGCACAAGACCAGCAGACCCTGCTAACTATACAAAAGAAAGTCTCCAATTTGAGGCAGCCAAACAATTGAATTTCAGTTGTTAAAAAGCAGTCAAAGTTCTTCCTTTATGCTCCAGGTACTGCAATCACTTACATGAACAGCCTCTATCCTTTGAATTTCACCAAATGTTATAGCAAAGTCTGACAAGGAATCCCACCTTTCCCCTTGGCCTGGTTCTCTCTATAAAAGCTAATTCTAGTTATAAACACTATACAGTGAACCAGCACTTAGCCTATCAACACCCCCATTCTGAATGCACTGCCTCTAGTTAATGAAATAACCAGGGAACAGAACAAAGCTGTCCTTTCTAATCCTACAAAAAATATCTGCCCTCCTAACTTGGGCCAGGAAGTAGAAACAACCAACCAGTTGTATTCCCCCAAATTACATGTTTATATAGATATGATTAGATAGGATCAAGATGGCAGACACTTGTCCACTTTCTACTCTTCAGACTAGAAACTTCACTGTTAGGAAGAGTTCATATAAACAAACATACAATTGGGGATACAAAATTTTCATTAAACACAACCACTTTCTAACCAAATATATTATCACATATTTAGATAGTGAGCACTGATGGCTTGTGCAAAAAAACCCAATGCTGCAAGACTGTTAGAAACTTCTTTAGGTTTATGCATATTATTAATACTCTTAAATGGATAAGGAATATAAAACTCATCCGAGGGATTTCTGAAAAGTGGATCCATTGATAAGTTCCAAAATGCTTCATGGGCAAAAAGAATGTGGAAGTTTGCTTAATATGTCACTTTAGATTAGAATACTAATAATATTTTCTTATATTTTCATTGTTATGCTAAATTCAGAAGCATCTTTTAAAGTAATTGCATTCTCCACCTCCTCTTTAGCTTTGGATTTAGATGTCCAGGCATATTCTTGGGGGCTGCCAGAGAACACATTAACATTTACTTTGGAGATATCACCCACCAATATTACCGACCTCAGCATCTGACAACAGGCAGGAAAGTGATTTTCAGATGAAGCTAGAAGCTATTAAATCACTGAAGCAGTTCCTGAGATTATAGACAACTGATCAGCATGTAAAAATTCAGTTGACATACTCATCAGTTATACTTGCTCAAATATGAAAAAAAAATATCTAAATTTGTCACTACAACGAGTTAACCAAAAAGAAAATTAAGCCATCTTTCTGAATAGTGTATGATGAAGAAATAAAACCTAATAAAGGATGTCAAGTTTTGTTTTCTTTTAACTGAGCATTCTGTGAGCTCTGGAATTCAGGAGGCCAAGTGCCACATGATTTGTATCCTACAATGAACTGAGCTTGGTGAGATCTTCAACCAAGCTTCTATAGTCTGGCTATTTCCTAGATCTCTCTCTTTGTGACAAAGAAGAGACTAGTTACAGCACAACTCTCACCCTTATACTGTCCACCTGTTTTCACAAAATACACACAAGCTGACAGTGTTGATCATGCAATTTCTCAATACTCTTCAGTTTTAAAAAATAAAAATAAAATCAAGCTAAGACAGAAAGATACACAATGTGGCACAGTAAGCCTCACATCCTTAAGAAATAAAAGATTTTCTAAAACCAAACCGAACACTTACCTACTACACCAAACGCAGAGACAGCTCGCGATAGCCCAGAAGAGCCCTTCTGCCCAATCTTTGTTCTGTTTCCCAGATCTAAACGACCAAGAAGTTCCCTCACCTCTTGTTGTGTATACACATGCTTTAAAATAAAAAGTCACTTAAGTTACTGCTTTGGTAGTTCATGTCAGAGAATAGTAGAATTTACTTCATATACAATAAACAATGTCTGGCTCTACATCCTTTGTCTGCTATATTCAGCCCTACCAACAAGTACAATTTTTTTGACAGTCATGATCACATGTGAATTCAAACATTTCCAAATCTTAAATGTTAAGATTTTAAACCATAAAATTCCTGTAAAGGAACTGAGTCATTCTATTATGTACATTAAAACTCTTGTTGCTGCTGTTTACCTTGCCTCAGATATATCAGCAACATTAAAAATTTGGCTAGATGGTAATTAAATGTATTTTGCACTTAGAACGGCATTGCTGAACATGAGAAAACCATTGGGAGCATATATATAATAAAATGAAAAACCTGTGAAAATTTCATTAAAGTGAACATGCTGTTTGGAGATCTTGTGGCCACTCCCATACTGTAACTAGCAATTTTCGTGTTTATACTGTGTGCACCTGACGCACGAGGAGAGGCTGAGAGAGCTGGGACTGATCAGCCTGCAGAAGAGAAAGTTCAGAGGGGATCTTCTCAATGTGTGTAAGTATCTGGTAGAGGAGAGTAAAGAAGTCCGAGGCAGACTCTGCTCAGTGATACCCAGTCAAAGGACAAGAGGCAATGGGCACAAACTGAAATACAAGAAACTTCATCTGAACATAAGGAAAACCTCTGTGAGGATGGCTGAACGTGGGAACAGGTTACCCAGAGATGTTCTGATGTTTCCAGCCATATTCAAAAGGCAACTAGGCATGGACCTGATTAACCTGATTTAGTTGACATTGCTCTGAGCATGAGGGTAGGACTAGACAATCTCCAGAGATCCCCTCCAACCTCAACTGTTATATGACTCTATGATTCTGTAACATACTTTCGCTATAATAGATTGAATGTGTAATATTTAAATTCAGCATAATCTAGACAGCATTATTTTGAACAACTGAAAAAAAAAAAAAGAGAGAGGCACTCACCTTATCATCAATTATAACCAAATCCTTTGGTTCAGTGCGATCTATTTTCAAAACACGGTATTTGGTTTCTGCAGGATTACTTCCAACAAGAAAATACCGCTACATTAAAAAAGAAAAGTCATAATATTATACAAGATAAAGCAACCAAAGTCATTTATGTAACATAACACAGTAAGAATGCCATTTATATAGTTTCTAGATGAGATGCATTACACTTTACATCAAATATGTAATATTCCATATGGATTGTTAACAAATTTGTGTAGACATCAGTACCTTAGGTAGGTACATTAGTATACAATCAACCTCTACAACTTAAAAGACCTCATTCTTCCCACTGTACACACTGCCCAAGTATACCCTGCCCCAGCTGTACTATCTTCCCATTTCCTTTGTAACATTCAGCAGAAGATTATACATGAGTTTATAACTTTTCATGATCTAAAACTACTGTTCTTATATTGTAGTCTACTGCTATTTCTGCCAGCTAGTCCTTCCTATTGCATACTAAACACAGAAAATTTGTAAATACTTCAGTACTTCAAGTTTTCTTCATTTTTCACTTATATTTGCTATTATAGTCTTTTCACTAATGTTCTTCCACAACAGTCAAGTTTAATTTGACCAGCCATGCTGGTTAAAAATACTACTTAAAAAACCTCAAACAACTAGCTTTATTTCTCATTTAAAATATGAAAGACAGACCATGGATAAACTATAATGTGCCCATTCCTCATTTAAGGGAATTAAACTATAAATGTATTTTTAGATTTAGAGGAAGTAACAGTAAGCACGAGTTGAAGGACCGACTTCCTATAAGCAGCTCTCATTCCACTAATTCATTTAACCAGTGTGGTGCTACCACACAGCAAGGTGTAACTCATTAATAATGCTCAGCCTAGTAGGAAGGCATGGCAAATTCATGTGGATCTATGCAGCCAGCTCTCAACTTTGAAAGTCACATGGATTTAAGATGTGGGAGAGGAAATCAATAATAACATTCACACAAGCCTCAGAATTTCAAAATTTATACCAGTGAGATGTTAAGAAACATCTTTACTGTCAAAATATTTAAGGTGAAAGAACTTAAGGCCCTCTTCAGCTCCCTTGAAATCAGAAAACCATCTGGACAGTTAGCTCTAAAAGAGAAACTCAATTCCTTAAGAGCTATAAAAGGAAACACCACCAACTCCTGGCTCCACCTTGTACACTGACATTACACTGCTTAATGAGTGGCAAGTTTTGCTGTTTACTCCTAAATGATAGTAAAGAAGGCCCTTCAAAGCCATCTGCCACTGCAGCCCTCCCTCACTGAAGCCTGAGGCAGCCCTTTGGCACAGGTATCTCTTCTACTGGTATTTTAGCAGTGGTGCACAACCCTGGCTTCCCTGCCCGGCCCCATCAGAGCACCCTCCACAGGAATTCCCTTAGTGCCCAGATCTGCACTTCCCAGGGGGGAAATCCTAACAACAGGGAGTAGGTCAGAGCCACCACTACATGGCACCAAATGGTAGAAAGGTGGACGATGGAGCTGCTCTGCTGGTATCACACATCAGTATGAAACATCAAACCACAGGCAGACACTTGGTTAGACCACACCATCAGACCACCTTTTCCTTCATGTGGTATAAGGTGAATGGGCAGAGAGAAATATCATATTCATTTGTAATACACAGATAAGTTAGTTTACATTTCAAAAATGCTGCTTCTCTATTTGTAGAAAATTGTTAATTAAAGCAAAACAATTTTAAGTAGTCCATAATACTGCAGTACAGCTCAGTGATCTCCTGTGTCCAGCTCACAAAATGAGAGCATAATTTCTTTCCAAAGTGACACCTACAGTTATCAACAAATCATCCTGAATAAAATCACAACAGTACAACTTTAAGGTGCTTGTCCAAACAGCAGTTTGGACCAAAGACCACATTTAAAAATAAAACATGGGGGAGGAAGGGGGAGAGAGATGTATATAGAGTTGCAAATGCTATTACTAAGGAAGTTCAGCTGGATGCTTCTCCATTTCCATTTTAACAGACTGATAAGGACTGATAACATAAGGAAGTGCTATGAGGAATGCATCACTCACATCAGCTTGGCAGCTGCTACACACAGTTACAGTGCCAGCTTTAAGTGCTGATGCTGCTGCTCAGAGCAGCAGCCAAGAGAAGTAATTGCATCTGTAGACTATGGTAGCAACCACCATAATGAATGATACTTAACAAGTTCTCTTTGAAGTGCTTTAAGGACTAATTTAGGGGGTTTAGGTTAGAAAGCTAGGCTGTGTAATGTATTAAGGAAGGCCAGTTGAGAACAGTGTCAAAACCCAGCATCAATGGAGCCAGAGAAGTCACCTTCTTAGAAAGCCAGGCAATAGGAAATATGTACTTAGCAAATGGGAATCTTACCCACTGCAGGTTAGAGGATATTCTAAAAAAGAAAGAAACATCTGCAAAAACTGTTGAACTTGAATTAGTCCTTCAGAATTAGGAACACAAAATTAGACTTCTACTTGGGAGGTTTTCAGAACTGGCTAACCATCAGCAAAGCCAGAATTACTCAGAAAGTGGTGAGGTGGGTGTTGTTCTCTCCTCCAAGGTTACTAGCAATAGGACAAGAAGAAATGGACTCAAGTAGTGCCAGGGGAGGTTTAGATTGGTTGTCTGGAAGAACTTCTTTACTGAACGAGTGGTGAGGCACTGGAACAGGCTGCCCAGGGAGGTGGTGGAGTCACCGTCCCAGGAAGTGTTCAAAAAACGTGTAGGTGTGGTACTTGGGGGCATGGTTTAATAGTCATGGTAGTGTTGGGTGATGGTTGGACTTGATGATCTTAGAGGTCTTTTCCAACCTTAATGATTCTATGATATGCCAGCTCCTATTCAACCTTCAAGATCTGAAATGAAAACAAAGATGATATGAAAACTAAAAATGCAAAAACTAAACAAACAAAAAAGACACTTTAGCATTCGCTGCTTTTGCTACCTAATTTATGCATCTAATGAATAAATAAATCTGTCATACTAGATGATATGGAGCACAAATAAAATCATATCAGCTACATGTACTGCAATTAAATTTGCCAACACATGAATACTAGAAAAGAATAAAAATACCTAATCAACACCACACTGAGCATGTAACATCAAACAAATTAATTTCTGAGGTTGTAATACAATTGCAAAATTAATCAAAGCTAAAATGTGCTGTACTGTTTACAACTATTTTGATTAACAGAAATCATTACAGTAAAAGAAATTAGAATCCCCAGGCATGCTACTGTAACCTTTGTGGGAGTTTCCATCCTTTTTCTGTTAATTACTAAGTTGAACTAAATAAATTGAAGCATTTTCCAAATGCCTCAGACAATTATGCTCCACAGCATTTACATAAATACCAATAAAGTGTTTCTCAACAGAATAGTACACAAGAAGCAACTGTGCAGACTTCCTCATGGTACCCTTCTCAAGCCCTTCAGCCATCACCTGAAATGAAACACGCCGTTTCCAGGTTTAGTCTGCCCTTGGTCTTGGCTGAAACTTGTTAACACATGCACTTTACCAACCGTGCCAGTGCAGCATGCAGCTATGAGATCTGGACTGAGGCCAAATTTATTACACAATTATCACTCAAGAACCACAAGATAGGAACATTAATTAGTCACTTCGACCCAGGACCAACTTTTAATCAAAGCAATGTAATTGAAAGGCTTTACAATCTTTTATCCATCTTTTGATTCAGCCAAGCCAATAAAAATAGCTTCTTCTAGGAGGAGTCTAAACAAAATATAAAATACTTCTTACCCTAACTTGTTGTTTATAATGGTAGAATAATAGTTCTAAAATCAAACATTCTGCCCACAATTCTTTTTTTCTTTAGGAAGATTACTTCTTAGAGCTCTGGGTCTAAAACTATGATTTGATTCTCTGCAAAGACTATCATTAAGAAATGTTAGCACTGTAAATAATTTATTTCACTCATCAGCTAAAAAGCAACACACAGCTTAATCCGCAGGAAAAAAAAAACAGGGAAAATACATTGAAAGTTACCTGAAAAACATGGCAGCACACTAATACAGCATATTTTTAAACCTGCAAGTAGCATAACTTAAGAACTCAAGACAAAATGCTTGCAAAAGATACCCATTGAGCCCATGGACGTGCCTGAAACCACAAAGCCCTAGGCAAATGTGGTGGGTTGACCTTGACCAGCTGCCAGATTCCCACCCAGCTGCTCTCTCATGTCTCCTCCTCAACAGGACAGGCAGAGGAAATAAGATGGAAAAGGTGATAGGTCAAGGTAAGGACAAGGACATTGCCTAACATTTACCATTACAGGTAAAGCAGGCTTGACTTGAGTAAAACAAAAGTAATTTATTGAAAATTAGAACAGGTTCTGAAAGTGAGAAACAAAGATAAATTAAAACGCCTTTTCCCCCAACCCTCCCTTCCTCCCAGGCACAGCTTCAGTCCCAACTCCTCTACCTTCCCCATGCCTTGAGCAGCACAGCAGGCTGGGAAATGGAGGGCTGTGGTCAGTTCATAACAGTTCCTCTCTGCTGCTCCTTCCACCTCACAATTTGCCCTGCTCCAGCATGGGTTCTCTCCACAGGCTGTAGCTCCTCCAGGAAATATCCCCCTGCTCCAGTGTGGTCCTCCCCAGGGGCTGCAGGTGGGCTCTGCTCTGGCACCTGGAACACCTCCTCCTTCACTGACCTTGGTGTCTATATGGCCATTTCTCTCCCAGCTTTCCTCACTCCTCTCTCTCACAGCTGCTGCATGGTGTTTTTCAATCTTTCCCAAAAAATATTATTACAGAGGCACCACTGTCTTGGCTGCTGGGCTAAACTGTGCCCAGCAGTGGGTCTGCTAGAGTCAGCTGGAGCTGACTGGGTCCAGCATGGGGCAGCCCTGACCCCTCCTCACAGAGGCCACCCTACGACCTCCCACCACCTGGACACCTACACCCAATACTGGAAAGTATTTACATGCTAGTCAGACTCAGACTAAAGAAACACATAGGGTTGCCAGATGAGAAACCTTCATGTGAACACTGACTTTGGATCAGCATACTATAATCTCTCTGCTTTAATTTATGCTTAACTG